CAAGCAGCAACTGCATCCACTGGAACTTGAATCCACAAGGGGACTCGCTGCCGTCAGGATCCATGTGGAAAGAGTCATTGGCCTGGTCAGGAACAAATACAGCATCCTTCAGAGCGCCATCCCGCTGTCTCTTTGCCAAGCAGCCACTCAAGGACAACCTACTTCCCTTGACAAGATGCTAACAGTTTGCTGTGCTCTTTGTAATGTCTGCCCATCTGTGGTACCCACAGAATAGATAGATACTATTTGTAAGTCGCTTTTGATAAAAGCGTTAGCTAAATGAAACAAAATGCTTATTGTGTATTCCCTTTTCTATGTATGTTGGATCTTCTCTCTATTATTTTTACAATTAATACATTAAAATGTCCAGTTTTGAACTAATAAACATCACTTTATCCAAGTATTTGTTCTTTGAGGTTTTTTAAATACTCCTACTTATACTACAATGCATCTGCAAGTATTAGATACCGTTATTTATTGCACAATCTACAGTGAATGAATATGTAAGGTTAATGGGTACACAAAAACCTGACCATGAAGACAAAAGAAAAAGACCAGTGTCTGACAAGAAGAGCTTATTTATTGTCAGCTTCTTAAAGTCCCCCAGATGTTTTGTCCGAGGTTGCAGTGGGGGAGAAGCGTGGCACAGTAAACCATTTACCCAACAACTCTGGTAGTATCCCCGTTCTGATGAAGTTTACCACCTTTGAATGGGCAACATCAAAAAATGCGCCATCAAACATGATGCGCTGTTTAAAGAGTTCTTGAGGTGTCCACACAACAAAATCACAGAACATTACCTCACGCATTTGTGCCTGCACTTGATACATATAGCTTTAGGCTCATCACACCTCCCTCAGGGACAGTCAGGCAGAACCGCGAGTCTTTGGTGCATTCAAGTAGACTGCGGTCTTTAGCGCTGAAAGGACACTTCATTTCTAAAATGCCAGGCTCATGGCAAGCACAGGTCACGACACCATCTGGGGATGCACCAATCCATGGCAGCTCTGGGTTGAGGATGAGCCCTGATGCTGCAACATTAATGTCTTCATGGTGATCTTGCATTGCCACCAGGTAAGACTTTTTGGCAGTGTCCTCGTTTTGTAAACCCCATCTGAGGAAAAGAACATGTTATTTTGAACATTTTGGAAAAAAACTCATCACTTTAAAAAGTCCCTAAAATACTGTTATTAGAATGTTAATATCTTGTTTTACCCTCATAATATCTAGTTACTCCATTATTGTCTTTATTCATGATGAAGTAGTGGAAAGAATGTATGATTTAGTCTTGCTGCCTAAATGTATATATATATATATATACCTGGTCGCTTCAGTGGAAAACTGAGAGGAGCGAGGATAGCAAACTCTTTGAATCAAAGACGAAGAGCTCTCTGTCTTGGCTGCCTCATGGAAGGATGACGCAGTAACTCTCCCTGCTCTCTGCTCAAACCAGACCCTCGACCTACTCTGTTTCCTGGTCTTCTCCTCAACTAACAAACACTCAAAAAGAATTGAACTATCAAAAGAGCTGTAATTATCAGAAAGCAGTGAAGTTATTCTTGTTGATGTTTAGGATTTAGCATTGTGACACGCTTTTATTTTACCGTAAGCCATTTCTATTTCTTACCTGCTCCGGTGTGAGATTCAGCTCCTCAAAGACTTTGGCACCCTCCTCTAGCAGTGCAGGCACATCCAGTACAAGTCTGCTGCTTTGATACAGACTGGTAAGGGGTGTTGGCAGATCCAGTTGTACAGTCTTTGGCGTGTATCTGTGGGAATGGCCTTCAATGACCGACAGGATAGCACTTTTCTTGGGCTTTGTCTCTTGTTCTTCACTTTGGTGGAGTTGTTCACAGAATAACTTGAAATCATCAGCAGATGGTCTCATGTGCTGAAACAGGACTTCGGTTTGAACTTGTTCTTTGATGGCGAAGATGACACCTCATCGTACTTCACCATGTTAGTGCTAGGCTGTGTCCATGTGCATGGCTTCTCTGTGCATGTCTGGTTTGCTCTCTTCTCAACAGCAGCCACAACTGTAAACATAAGTGCTGCTGCGTGGGAACAAACCTCTCCTAACCCTGCCATGCATGTACAATGCGCCATCACCACTGTCCCGTCCTCCTGCACCACAATCCATGGAGATGTTGGTTTGCTGTTCAAAGCCTGGGAATGATTGACCTGTTAAGTGAAAAATGCAGTACATTAATTTTGTCATATAAAAGCTAAACTCTCCTGAGCTTGTACAAATGTAAGATTCAAAGGTTTATTGCCAAATACAATAGCTACAGCGCAGATTGGCATTTCATATCTGAAGTCCCAGGCTGCTCCAAAAGTAGGCTACAACATACAATATCCTTAAGACATCAAAAAACAAGTAAAGATAGAGCAACGCGAAATATAACAATAGTGCAAGTGACAGAGAATCGTGAAATAAACATGGACCTCTTGCAATTTGTCATTGAAAGAAGAGTATGTTGCTTTAAAACAATATATATAGCTACTGTAGCTGCCAGCTGGAGTTATGATGTTAGCTAGAAATACCATATGCTAGCAACTGGCTAGCAAGCTAACATCATCACTTTAGACATAAATACAACTATAATAACACGTTTTATGATTGTTGGTAAATGACTTACCTTCGCTGTGATCACATGTAGGTGTGTCTTCTCCACATGCCATATCTTGGTGTCGTTCACCCACCCGGCAACCCGATATGCATCTGTGCTCTGAAAAGCCTTCAGGCTCTCTCCGGTGAATGGAGATGGATTGTGAACAAGATAAATATATATGTCGGGAAAAGTTAGTTGGGGAAGACACTTAGCCGAATTCAATAAACAAAATACAGTTGGGGGTAACACATAGGGATCGCATCCAATAATCGCCGTCTTTACCAAATATCTCTCTCTCTCTTTCCCGTTTAAATGCGCTGTGTTTGCTGCCATGACGAGTGCAAACAAACTGTGAGAGTCGGTCACAAAGATGGCGGCGGGCATTCCGGAAATGACGTACTTGGTACCCATGAATATGTAAATGATATATTGTAGGGCCATACCTATATAAGGTATATTTATACGTTTCTGTTTTCAAAATACCAAACAGATCATGCATTTTAGCCATGCCTCATTTCGCTCTATGTGCTGTTTGCTGTCTACGGGTCTGATTCTGCTGACCACGCCCCCCTGCAGGAGAGGGGAGACGTGCTCTGATCAGCTGCTGGGCTGTCAGAAGAGGGGGAGAAAAAGAGATCTCCGTCCTCCGTGTTTTATTATATAGAGTCGTTATTCATTTGTTTTAAAGCTCAATAAATAACAAAGAAGACCTTTGACCGGCACTTTTCTAATTTTGTCCGGAAGATTTAAACTTTAACGGACATCTTGACCGGAGAAAGAAACTGAAACTGAAACTCTGCCGCACGGTCCCCTCGTTCCTTGGAAGAGGCGGAGAGGTGGGTGTTTGTCATCTGCTGGTGGACTAACCGGAGAGAATTACAGTGCTTGCCTCGACGGGGAGGGATTGCATTGAATTAAAGCAGCGGGAGCAAACGCTTGCCTCGGGGAGGGAGACTACAGCGCCACTTACAGGCCTGGCATATGTACTACAGCGTCTCCAGCGCTTTCGAGCGGCAATGGCCGTGGCCCAACCCCACATTCCCCTGATAGGTGGAGAGTTGGCCCAATAGCCGTAGCGCCACCGTCCTGACGTCAGGACAGTGTTCAAATCTGGATCAGTTTTTATCAGATCCGTTGCAGCCCCTTTTTTAGAGATTTGGGTATGGAGGAAAATAGAGAGGGTTGTGTTTTCTGACACTTGGTGAGTTCCCTGGAACACCGGGGACACATATTCATGTAGAAAAGACGTACACAAGTGCATTTTGCATGATAGGTCCCCTTTAAGAAAGGTCTGGGAGAAGGACTCAGATAGATGAAACGACTTGGCAGAATATTTGTGAAAGAACACACTTTCCATTCACAAGCAATAAAATCAAAGAAGCAAACTTTAAATGTATCAACACATTGTACCTCACACCCATAAAGATGCATACCAAAGACAACTCTCCAAACTGTCCGAGATGTAAATAAAAGAAGGAACATTCATGCATCTGTTTTGGGATCTGTTGAAACCTTTCTGGGATTTGATTCATGCTCTCACAGAAGCCGTCTGAGACATCGAGATGAGCCTAAATCCATGCTCTCACAGAAGCCGTCTGAGACATCGAGATGAGCCTAAATCCATGCTCTCACAGAAGCCGTCTGAGACATCGAGATGAGCCTAAATCCATGCTCTCACAGAAGCCGTCTGAGACATCGAGATGAGCCTAAATCATGCTTTTTCCTGTTAAATGACTTTGAACTGAATCCCAAATATTATACTAATCACACTAACATATTTTGCCAAGAATGAACGTCCCCCAACATTTAAACTTTTCATTGATCAGATAACACATTTTTTACCTCTGGAGAAAATGACACTGGAAAAATATAATCGTGGACATATTTTCCAAGTGTTTTTTGTTTGTTTTTTTCTTTTCCTTTCTATGTTTATTTTCATGGCTCTGTTGTTTAAGTTATCTTGATAAGCATTGTTTGGTTTTGCTTGTGTGGGCATGTGCGGGGGGAGGGAGGGGGGAGTGTACTGTGATATTACAATGTCAATGAAATGGCATTGATTATTGTACACTATAATGAAATAAAGAGACTTGTAGCCTGTATGCTATATAGATATCTATATTTCGTTGTGATCCCCGTCCCTTTGCCCCCCCCCCTCGCTCCAAGGACCATGAGACCATTTAGTGATGTGAAACAACGCCTCTCAGACGCTCTCCCGTTTACTGGTTTCATAAAGACAAACTAATGGACGGTAGATACACGGATTGATATCAAACTGTACTGTTTGTTGTTGAATAAATTAACAAGTGAACGGAGCTCTGAACGTGATGACGACAGCAGTGACGGCGGTGATGACGGCGGTGACGTCAAACGTCCTGTGATTCGCGGGAAAAGTGAAAAAATGGCGAAGAGGGAGGTTTGAAGTTCAGCGCCACGAAATCAAAGCGAGAGACCGTGAGCTGTCTGTCTGCCAGCCTGCCAGCCTGTCTGCCTCTCCGCCTGTCTGTCAGCCAGCCTGTCTGCCTGCCTGCCTGCCTATCTGTCTGCCTCTCCGCCTGTCTGTCCGCCAGCCTGTCTGTCTGCGGCTCGGGGACCGGAGGAGCACTCACCGGAGAAGGAGGTGAGGATTATTCTCTTCTTTAAATAAAACACCGTTAGTTTCGAGAGAGAGAGAGAGAGAGACTGTGACTGTGTGTGACTGTGTGTGTGACTGTGTGTGTGACTGTGTGACTGTGTGTGTGTGTGTGTGTGTGTGTGTGTGTGTGTGTGTGTGTGTGTGTGTGTGTGTGTGTGTGTGTGTGTGTGTGTGTGTGTGTGTGTGTGTGTGTGTGTGTGTGTGTGTGTGTGTGTGTGTGTGTGTGTGTGTGTGTGTGTGTGTGTGTGTGTGTGTGTGTGTGTGTGTGTGTGTGTCAAAACCCCCCTGCCTGTCTCTCTGACAGCCTGTCTAACAGAGTGTGTGTGTGTGTGTGTGTGTGTCAAAACCCCCCTGCCTGTCTCTCTGACAGCCTGTCTCTCTGACAGCCTGTCTAACAGAGTATCTGTCTGCCTACCTGTCTGTCTGACAGCCTGTCTCTCTGACAGCCCGTCTAACAGAGTGTGTGTGTGTGTGTGTGTGTGCCGAAGTGTCAAAACCCCCCTGACAGTTCAGGAATGAATCACAACCACAACCTGTCTCTCTGACAGCCTGTCTAACAGAGTGTCTGTCTGCCTACCTGTCTGTCTGACAGCCTGTCTCTCTGACAGCCTGTCTCTCTGACAGCCTGTCTCTCTGACAGCCTGTCTAACAGAGTGTCTGTCTGCCTACCTGTCTGTCTGACAGCCTGTCTCTCTGACAGCCTGTCTCTCTGACAGCCTGTCTAACAGAGTGTCTGTCTGACAGCCTGTCTCTCTGACAGCCTGTCTAACAGAGTGTCTGTCTGACAGCCTGTCTCTCTGACAGCCTGTCTCTCTGACAGCCTGTCTGTCTGACAGCCTGTCTGTCTGACAGCCTGTCTAACAGAGTGTCTGTCTGACAGCCTGTCTAACAGTGTCTCTTTGACAGCCTGTCTGTCTGACAGCCTGTCTGTCTGACAGCCTGTCTAACAGAGTGTCTGTCTGCCTACCTGTCTGTCTGCCTACCTGTCTCTCTGACAGCCTGTCTGTCTGACAGCCTGTCTGTCTGACAGCCTGTCTCTCTGACAGCCTGTCTCTCTGACAGCCTGTCTAACAGAGTGTCTGTCTGACAGCCTGTCTCTCTGACAGCCTGTCTCTCTGACAGCCTGTCTCTCTGACAGCCTGTCTCTCTGACAGCCTGTCTGTCTGACAGCCTGTCTGTCTGACAGCCTGTCTCTCTGACAGCCTGTCTAACATTACATTACATGTCACTTGTGTTAGGAAAATATCACTCGACACCAGGTTGAGAATCAATAATCAGGAACTAGGGGTGTAACGGTATACGTATTCGTATCAATATTATTTGGTACGGGCCCTTCGGTTCGGAACACGTGTGTACCGAAGTGTACCGAACGAATATAACAATACACGTAAAAGATTGAGAACGTGAACAACCTTTTGGAAGTAATCTCAGGTGCTGCGTCGCAGCGTTCAGTGTAATTTGCTCCCATTGGGTTCAACGCGTCATAGAGCGACCAAGTCATTTCATTGGACGAGAGGCATACTATGAGAGCTGGTCACAGGGATGCGTTCAAATTTAGTCAGTCATTTGAGGAACTGTCGAAATGGCGAACGCAGATAAAGTTGAGCTGGAAAATCCTCCAGCATCATTGAAGTCTCCGGTTTGGGAACATTTTGGTTTTGCAGTTACGTACAAGGATGACGGACAAAGACAGGTGGACCGAACCAAAGCTGTTTGTCGGCATTGTTCAACTAACATTGGTTACGCAGCTGGCAATACATCAAACTTGCACACTCATTTGAAAAGGCATCACCCGAACGTGAATATCACCGGTACCAAAATAAAAATGACTGAAGTGCAAACCCAACTCCCTCTAGCATTTAAGCCTCCACCACTCGCAACAAGTTCAGTGCCATGTTAGCAAAGCGCTACCTGTCTGTATCTGCTACCTCTGTCCCTAGAGAGAGGGTGTTCTCCACAGCAGGAGACATTGTTAGTGCCAGCAGATCTGCCCTTTCAGCAAGCAATGTGGACAAGTTCATCTTTCTTTAAAACATGAAAATACAATGAAAGCCTAATGTCAAGCTGGCTGCTTAGGTGCTAGTACAGTACAGTTCAAATACAGATGATTTCAGTTCATCCAAATGCTGCACCTTAATGTCTATTTTATTATATTTTGTATTTATTTGGATGAATACATTATTCACAGTTTAATAATAATAAAAATAAAAAAAAATATATTTTATGTTTTGTGATCATTTAGTGGGAATGCTGATACAGCATTCCCACTAAATGTTATGCTACGGACAAAATTCTTATTATTATTATTCCATCCAATTATTTTGTCCCTCTTCTCCTCCCGCATTCCACATCGCAGAAACTCCGTTCAAACATCAAAACGTTCAGCTCGGTCGGGAATCGATGGCTATTACTTTTCTCATTCATAACTTTCATAATTCCAGAGATACATCCCATAATACATCACATTTTTAACCATTGAAGTCAATGGAGACACTCTTCAGACTTCAACAAATCTTCATGCGACTTCAACTGCTAACTGTTCATTCATACTTTCACTCAGAAACCTCATTCCAACTTTAAAATGTTACACATCTTTCTGACATTATTCGTGTAACACAACTTTTAAATCTGATTCTTACTTTTAGAGATATTAAACATTGTTCAGACCTTGGTAAAGAGGTTTTCTTCAGATTGTAACATTAACTAGAGTGCGTGATGTTACAGCTAGAGGGTAGCAAATCTTGAAATGTGCCTTCATATTTTTTTTAAAACTGCCATAATTCCCAAACCCTACATTCTTGAGACATAATTTTTCATGACAAACGTAGGAAAACATCTCGTAGCTTGAAAAATGACAAATAATTAAGCAAAAAATAATTAAACAAAATGCCTCTTGAGGGCATGAAGTGACAAAAACGTTCAACATGTCTCCATTAAAGCCCATTGTAATTTCAGGCTGATATTTCCTCACAGCAGCAGCCGCACACCTTTAGTTAAACTGCCAAAAAGGCCACATTATTAACCCGAAAGTACACAAAAATTACACTTCAGATACTCAACTTCCTTCACATGCTTCACATTTTGAAATTTCACAGATATCTGTTATCGTTCTTCCACAAAACGTTCACATGTAAGAGGTTCATCTCTCATTCAGAACAATGAAACCTTTGAAGTCTAGGCACCTCGTTAGCTCAACTATAAACACCTGTGTCATGGAAGACGATGATGTCACATTGACAGGTTTGGTAACGATGCAGCCATCAACGCATCTAAGCGTATTATGGGGTGTCATCAAATGTCGTTGCCATGGCGACAGACCACTCGCCATGAAGCACGATGTCGCTGTAAGTCCAATGGACACGGTCCGATCGTCCCCCAAACTTCGCTTGTATATCACCGGTCCAGCCCTCAACAGGTCTACGTCAATCATGGGGTTTCTTCAAATGCCGTTGCCATGGTAACACAAGGCTCGCCATGAAACACGGTTTTCTCATAACTTCAGTGAAAATGCTCCAAACAGCCCAAAACTTCACAGGTTTGGTAACGATGCAGCCATCAACGCATCTAACCGTATTATGGGGTGTCATCAAATGCCGTTGCCATGGCGACAGACCACTCGCCATGAAACACGATGTCGCTGTAAGTCCAATGGAAACGGTCCAATCGTCCCCCAATCTTCACTTGTATATCACCGGTCCATGCCTCAACAGCTCTACGCCAAATCTGAGATCTCACCATATGCCGTTTCCATGGAAACGCATCCCTCGCCATAAAAGACGATGTCGCTATAACTCCTATGAAAATGTTCAAAAAGTGCTCAAACTTCACATGTGTGCTAACAGTCCAGCTGAAGTGTCTCAGGGACACAACGACATGCTGACTGCAGTGGGGTTTGAACCTGAGACCCCCTGATCCCAACACCAACGCACCAGTCCACTGCGCGCCACACGCCTCCCTAACACTGTCTGCCTACCTGTCTGTCTGACAGCCTGTCTCTCTGACAGCCTGTCTCACTGACAGCCTGTCTATCTGACCTCCTGACTCACAGAGTGCCTGTCTGTCTGTCTGTAGGATGCTGGAGGATCTGATTGGAGCGTTCTGTGACCTGGAGCCTCAGGTGTCTCCTGGGGGCGGGGCCTGTCAGAGGGGGCGAGGCCTGATGGAGGGGGCGGAGTCTAGTCTGAGCGTCGGACAGTTCGTCCTCTGTCATTGGTCAGATGGGCTCTACTACCTGGGCAAGATACAGAGGGTAAGTCTGCTGTGATCTCCTGTAAGTTCTCTGTGCTCTGATTGGCTGCTGTAATTTCTCTGTGTGATTGGCTGCTGTAAATCTCTGTACTGTGATTGGCTGCTGTAAGTTCTATGTGCTCTGATTGGCTGCTGTAAGTTCTCTGTGTGTGTGATTGGCTGCTGTAAGTCTCTGTGTGTGATTGGCTGCTGTAAGTCTGTGTGTGATTGGCTGCTGTAAGTCTCTGTGTGTGATTGGCTGCTGTAAGTCTGTGTGTGATTGGCTGCTGTAAGTCTCTGTGTGTGATTGGCTGCTGTAAGTCTGTGTGTGATTGGCTGCTGTAAGTCTGTGTGTGATTGGCTGCTGTAAGTCTGTGTGTGATTGGCTGCTGTAAGTCTGTGTGTGTGATTGGCTGCTGTAAGTCTGTGTGTGATTGGCTGCTGTTACGTCCCCAGCTCGTTTAGGGTAAAAGGGAAGCAACACGAAACCAGATATTCTTGGTAAGAGGTTGATTTTAATAATAAACTCAAATAAAAATGATATAAACAAAAGTACAGCCTCTTTAAACAAGAAGCTATCTATTTATAATATAAGTACACAAAACGAAGGCCACAGAGTATCACAGTCACAGAACAATATGGACACTTAAGGCGAAAATAGTGAGGCGTCTAGCACAAATTCAACGCCGTCACAAGTCACAGAACATACACAAACATTTTAGAGAATAGAGTAGCGTGGCGTCCTGGCATAAATCCAGCGCCTCGAATGACAACAACGTCGCAGCTTAAAGGTAGGGTAGGTAAGTTTGAGAAACCGGCTGGAGATACACTTGTTATATTCCATGGAATGCTCTTAACATCCCGATAGCAATGAATATCTGAAGTGCTTTGACAACAAATCCATAAATAAATATCATCTGTGGAAGCAGTAGTACTGTAAAAAGCACGACCAATCATCTGAGCCGGCCCGGCTAAAATAACTGGATGGCCTACCTGCCTGTCAGCCTTCCATCTGTGCACAAACTTATCTCGTGCCCTCATTGGTCATGTGCGCGTTCGTGTGTGTTGGAGGAGGGGCTCTGTGAGGAAGTAGCAGATTTTCTCCGGTTGTGTATTTTCAAATTGTAGCGATCTCGAGCTGGTTTCTCCAAACTTACCTAACCCACCTTTAAGTAGCGTCATCCCGCGTCATCAAGCGTCGTCCAGACCTCTTCCGGTGGGAGGAACTAAACAACGTCACACCGACGCGGTAACCATAGTAGGGATGCCAGAAAGTGACCATGATCAAATTAGAAAATCGGACAGCCCTGGCGAATATTAATCGATTATTATTATGACAGCCGTCACCCCCCCCCCTTAAGACACAAACTCACCGTTTTGTTAACCATGCCTACGAACAAACCTACCTAATAACTCTGAAGGACTCTGAAGGACTCTGAAGGACTCAAAGGACTCTGAAGGTCTCTGAAGGACTCAAAGGACTCTGAAGGACTCTTAAGGACTCTGAAGGACTCAAAGGACTCTGAAGGTCTCTGAAGGACTCAAAGGACTCTGAAGGACTCTGAAGGACTCAAAGGACTCTGAAGGTCTCTGAAGGACTCAAAGGACTCTGAAGGACTCTGAAGGACTCAAAGGACTCTGAAGGACTCTGAAGGACTCAAAGGACTCTGAAGGACTCTGAAGGACTCAAAGGACTCTGAAGGTCTCTGAAGGACTCAAAGGACTCTTAAGGACTCTTAAGGACTCTGAAGGACTCAAAGGACTCTGAAGGACTCTGAAGGACTCAAAGGACTCTGAAGGTCTCTGAAGGACTCTTAAGGACTCTGAAGGACTCAAAGGACTCTGAAGGTCTCTGAAGGACTCTGAAGGACTCAAAGGACTCTTAAGGACTCTGAAGGACTCTGAAGGACTCTGAAGGACTCAAAGGACTCTGAAGGTCTCTGAAGGACTCAAAGGACTCTTAAGGACTCTTAAGGACTCTGAAGGACTCAAAGGACTCTGAAGGACTCTGAAGGACTCAAAGGACTCTGAAGGTCTCTGAAGGACTCTTAAGGACTCTGAAGGACTCAAAGGACTCTGAAGGTCTCTGAAGGACTCTGAAGGACTCAAAGGACTCTTAAGGACTCTGAAGGACTCAAAGGACTCTTAAGGACTCTGAAGGACTCGAAGGACTCTGAAGGACTCGAATGACTCTTAAGGACTCTGAAGGTCTCTGAAGGACTCTTAAGGACTCTGAAGGACTCAAAGGACTCTTAAGGACTCTGAAGGACTCTTAAGGACTCTGAAGGACTCAAAGGACTCTTAAGGACTCTGAAGGACTCAAAGGACTCTTAAGGACTCTGAAGGACTCAAAGGATTCTTAAGGACTCTGAAAGACTCAAGGACTCAAAGGACTCTGAAGGACTCGAATGACTCTTAAGGACTCTGAAGGACTCAAAGGACTCTGAAGGACTCAAAGGACTCGAAGGACTCTTAAGGACTCTGAAGGACTCAAAGGACTCAAAGGACTCTGAAGGACTCTAAAGGACTCGAAGGACTCTGAAGGACTCAAAGGACTCGAAGGACTCTGAAGGACTCTGAAGGACTCAAAGGACTCTTAAGGACTCGAAGGACTCTGAAGGACTCGAATGACTCGAAGGACTCTGAAGGACTCTGAAGGACTCAAAGGACTCTTAAGGACTCTGAAGGACTGATAAGGACTCTTAAGGACTCTTAAGGACTCTGAAGGACTGATAAGGACTCATGTACTGTGCCTGACTGCGGCGGCTCTTTGCGTTTCAGCGTTGAACAGTTGGCGATGCCCAGGACAGGAGAAGCTCTCTCTCCTCTCTGTTAACCTCAGCTGCTTGCATGGGGTACGTACATGGCAGAACGGACACCCCACGGGGCTCCTCAGCAGACACAGGACGAAACACAGCTGAGTCAGAACACACTCATCTGCTCACACTGCAGGGGCAGAAAGTGATTCTACCTTTTGCTCGTTAAGACAGCAATGCGATCACTTCTTATGTTGCGACCCATTTATCGTACATGCTTCCCTTTTCCCAGCCGAACTCCACATATGTTTGAAGCGAACCTTTTTCGTGATTACGGAATTTTTGTCTGTAAGCTTCTGGAACTAATTCGTAAGCACGAAGGATGGCAGTTTTGACTGAATCATAATCAAGTCTCCCACTTCCAGAGCAGCAACAGCTTCCTGAGCTTTGCAGTAAAAGAGGCCTCTGTCGGCCACTTCAGCGCTCCAATGCGCTAACATGCGCTAACATGCGCTAACATGCGCTAACATGCGCTAACATGCGCTAACATGCGCTAACACATGCATCTACCTCAGTCTCACGGAATGCCTGAACCAAAGAAATATTTCTGCTAATATCAAAGTCAACATAATTCAACGCACGAGCAAGACGGCGATCGCAATTGCGCAGGTCTGCGTCGGTCTCGCTCGTCTCAAACAAGCCTTCTGTGTGTGATTGGCTGCTGTAAGTCTCTGTGTGATTGGCTGCTGTAAGTCTCTGTGTGATTGGCTGCTGTAAGTCTGTGTGTGATTGGCTGATGTAAGTCTGTGTGTGATTGGCTGCTGTAAGTCTCTGTGTGTGTGATTGGCTGCTGTAAGTCTGTGTGTGATTGGCTGCTGTAAGTCTGTGTGTGATTGGCTGATGTAAGTCTCTGTGTGTGATTGGCTGATGTAAGTCTCTGTGTGATTGGCTGATGTAAGTCTCTGTGTGATTGGCTGATGTAAGTCTCTGTGTGTGATTGGCTGCTGTAAGTCTCTGTGTGATTGGCTGATGTAAGTCTCTGTGTGTGTGATTGGCTGATGTAAGTCTGTGTGTGTGTGATTGGCTGCTGTAAGTCTGTGTGTGATTGGCTGATGTAAGTCTCTGTGTGTGTGATTGGCTGCTGTAAGTCTGTGTGTGATTGGCTGATGTAAGTCTGTGTTTGATTGGCTGCTGTAAGTCTCTGTGTGTGTGATTGGCTGCTGTAAGTCTGTGTGTGATTGGCTGATGTAAGTCTGTGTGTGATTGGCTGATGTAAGTCTCTGTGTGTGTGATTGGCTGATGTAAGTCTCTGTGTGTGATTGGCTGATGTAAGTCTCTGTGTGATTGGCTGATGTAAGTCTCTGTGTGATTGGCTGATGTAAGTCTCTGTGTGTGATTGGCTGCTGTAAGTCTCTGTGTGATTGGCTGATGTAAGTCTCTGTGTGTGTGATTGGCTGATGTAAGTCTGTGTGTGATTGGCTGCTGTAAGTCTGTGTGTGATTGGCTGCTGTAAGTCTCTGTGTGTGTGATTGGCTGATGTAAGTCTCTGTGTGTGATTGGCTGATGTAAGTCTCTGTGTGTGTGATTGGCTGCTGTAAGTCTGTGTGATTGGCTGATGTAAGTCTGTGTGTGATTGGCTGCTGTAAGTCTGTGTGTGATTGGCTGCTGTAAGTCTCTGTGTGTGTGATTGGCTGCTGTAAGTCTGTGTGATTGGCTGATGTAAGTCTGTGTTTGATTGGCTGCTGTAAGTCTCTGTGTGTGTGATTGGCTGATGTAAGTCTGTGTGTGATTGGCTGCTGTAAGTCTCTGTGTGTGTGATTGGCTGCTGTAAGTCTGTGTGTGATTGGCTGATGTAAGTCTCTGTGTGATTGGCTGCTGTAAGTATCTGTGTGTGTGATTGGCTGCTGTAAGTCTGTGTGATTGGCTGATGTAAGTCTGTGTGTGATTGGCTGCTGTAAGTCTGTGTGTGATTGGCTGCTGTAAGTCTGTGTGTGATTGGCTGCTGTAAGTCTGTGTGTGATTGGCTGCTGTAAGTCTCTGTGTGTGTGATTGGCTGCTGTAAGTCTCTGTGTGATTGGCTGCTGTAAGTCTCTGTGTGTGTGATTGGCTGATGTAAGTCTGTGTGTGATTGACAGGTGTAAGTCTCTGTGCTGTGATTGGCTGATGTAAGTTCTCTGTGCTGTGATTGGTTAATGTAAGTTCTCTGTGATTGACAGGTGAGCTCCCCCCGGCTGAGCTGCTTCGTCACGTTTGAAGACAACTCAAAGTTCTGGGTCCTCTGGAAGGACATCCAACACGGTGAGAGATAGACAGGTAGAGAGACAGACAGGTAGACAACGCTCCCCTCTGGCTGTCACTCACACTCTTTGTCGAATCACATTTCAGCTGGCGTGCCGGGGGAGGAGCCTAGCTGCTCCGTGTGTCAGGAGGCGGAGTCACACTCTGACAGCCAATCAGAAAACAGGATCCTCATCTGTGGGAAGTGTGGCATCGGTGAGTGAGACAGGCAGTGAGACAGGCAGTGAGGCAGGCAGTGAGGCAGGCTGTGAGACAGGCAGTGAGACAGGCTGTGAGACAGGCTGTGAGACAGGCAGTGAGACAGGCAGTGAGACAGGCAGTGAGACAGGCAGTGAGACAGGCTGTGAGACAGGCTGTGAGACAGGCAGTGAGACAGGCAGTGAGAGTTTGTAGAGAATATTTATAAATATACAATTCACCTGTCAGTCTACTTGTCTGTCTGTAACCTGTCTGTCTCTCACCTGTCTGTCTGTAACCTGTCTGTCTCTCACCTGTCTGTCTGTAACCTGTCTGTCTCTCACCTGTCTGTCTCTCACCTGTCTGTCTGTAACCTGTCTGTCTCTCACCTGTCGGTCTGTAACCTGTCTCTCTCTCACCTGTCGGTCTCTCACCTGTCTGTCTCTCACCTGTCTGTCTCTCACCTGTCGGTCTCTCACCTGTCTGTCTCTCACCTGTCTGTCTCTCACCTGTCTGTCTCTCACCTGTCTGTCTGTAACCTGTCTGTCTCTCACCTGTCTGTCTCTCACCTGTCTGTCTCTCACCTGTCTGTCTGTAACCTGTCTGTCTCTCACCTGTCTGTCTCTCACCTGTCTGTCTCTCACCTGTCTCTCACCTGTCTGTCTCTCACCTGTCTGTCTCTCACCTGTCTGTCTCTCACCTATCTGTCTCTCACCTGTCGGTCTCTCACCTGTCTGTCTCTCACCTGTCTGTCTCTCACCTGTCTGTCTCTCACCTGTCTGTCTCTCACCTGTCTGTCTCTCACCTGTCGGTCTCTCACCTATCTGTCTCTCACCTGTCGGTCTCTCACCTGTCTGTCTCTCACCTGTCTGTCTCTCACCTGTCTGTCTCTCACCTGTCTGTCTCTCACCTGTCGGTCTCTCACCTGTCGGTCTCTCACCTGTCTGTCTCTCACCTGTCTGTCTCTCACCTGTCTGTCTGTTACCTGTCTGTCTCTCTGCAGGTTTCCACCAGCAGTGCCATGTCCCTCCTGTGGGAGACAGCAGCCCCCCCCCCTGGTTCTGTAGACGCTGTGTGTTTGCGCTGGCTGTCCGGGTACACACACACACACACACACACACACACACACACACACACACACACACACACACACACACACACACACACACACACACACACACACACACACACACACACACACACACACAGACTCACCTGTCTCTCTCTCACCTGTCTGTCTCTCACCTGTCTGTCTCTCACCTGTCCGTCTCTCACCTGTCTCTCTCTCACCTGTCCGTCTCTCACCTGTCTCTCACCTGTCTGTCTCTCACTTGTCCGTCTCTCACCTGTCTCTCTCTCACCTGTCTGTCTCTCACCTGTCTGTCTCTCACCTGTCTGTCTCTCACCTGTCTCTCTCTCACCTGTCTGTCTCTCACCTGTCTCTCTCTCACCTGTCTCTCTCTCCCCTGTCTCTCTCTCACCTGTCCGTCTCTCACCTGTCCGTCTCTCACCTGTCTCTCTCTCACCCCTGTCTCTCTCTCACCCCTGTCTCTCTCTCCCCTGTCCGTCTCTCACCTGTCTCTCTCTCACCTGTCTCTCTCTCACCTGTCCGTCTCTCACCTGTCTCTCACCTGTCTGTCTCTCACTTGTCCGTCTCTCACCTGTCTCTCTCTCACCTGTCCGTCTCTCACCTGTCTGTCTCTCACCTGTCCGTCTCTCACCTGTCTCTCTCTCACCTGTCCGTCTCTCACCTGTCTCTCTCTCACCTGTCCGTCTCTCACCTGTCTCTCTCTCCCCTGTCTCTCTCTCACCTGTCCGTCTCTCACCTGTCTCTCTCTCACCCCTGTCTCTCTCTCACCCCTGTCCGTCTCTCACCTGTCCGTCTCTCACCTGTCTCTCTCTCACCTGTCTCTCTCTCACCTGTCTCTCTCTCACCTGTCTCTCTCTCACCTGTCTCTCTCTCACCTGTCTGTCTCTCACCTGTCTCTCTCTCACCTGTCTCTCTCTCACCTGTCTCTCTCTCACCTGTCTCTCTCTCACCTGTCTGTCTCTCACCTGTCTCTCTCTCACCTGTCTGTCTCTCACCTGTCTCTCTCTCACCTGTCTCTCTCTCACCTGTCTCTCTCTCACCTGTCTCCCCTCAGAAAGGAGGCGCTCTGAAGAAAGGCCCTCTGGCTCGGTCTCTTGTGATCATGAAGCAGGTGCTTCTTTATTCTCTGGACTCTCTGGACTGGGACTCTCAGCACCGAACCAACCAGCAGCAGGTCTACTGTTACTGTGGGGGCCCTGGAGAGTAAGTACACCTCTCACCTGAACACCTGTCACCTCTCACCTGAACACCTGTCACCTCTCACCTGAACACCTGTCACCTCTCACCTGAACACCTGTCACCTCTCACCTGAACACCTGTCACCTCTCACCTGAACACCTGTCACCTCTCACCTGAACACCTGTCACCTCTCACCTGAACACCTGTCACCTCTCACCTGAACACCTGTCACCTCTCACCTCTCACCTGTCACCTGTCACCTCTCACCTCTCACCTGTCACCTCTCACCTCTCACCTGTCACCTGTCACCTCTCACCTGAACACCTGTCACCTCTCACCTCTCACCTGTCACCTCTCACCTGAACACCTGTCACCTGAACACCTGTCACCTCTCACCTCTCACCTGTCACCTCTCACCTGAACACCTGTCACCTCTCACCTGAACACCTGTCACCTCTCACCTCTCACCTCTCACCTGAACACCTGTCACCTCTCACCTCTCACCTGTCACCTCTCACCTGAACACCTCTCACCTGAACACCTGTCACCTGAACACCTGTCACCTCTCACCTGAACACCTGTCACCTGAACACCTGTCACCTCTCACCTGAACACCTGTCACCTGAACACCTGTCACCTCTCACCTGAACACCTGTCACCTCTAACACCTGTCACCTCTCACCTGTCACCTCTCACCTGAACACCTCTCACCTGAACACCTGTCACCTCTCACCTGAACACCTGTCACCTCTCACCTCTCACCTCTCACCTGAACACCTGTCACCTGTCACCTCTCACCTGAACACCTCTCACCTGTCACCTCTCACCTGAACACCTGTCACCTCTCACCTGAACACCTGTCACCTCTCACCTGAACACCTGTCACCTCTCACCTGAACACCTGTCACCTCTCACCTCTCACCTCTCACCTGAACACCTGTCACCTCTCACCTCTCACCTGTCACCTCTCACCTGTCACCTCTCACCTGAACACCTGTCACCTCTCACCTCTCACCTGTCACCTCTCACCTGAACACCTGTCACCTCTCACCTGTCACCTCTCACCTGAACACCTCTCACCTGAACACCTGTCACCTCTCACCTCTCACCTGTCACCTCTCACCTGTCACCTCTCACCTGAACACCTGTCACCTCTCACCTCTCACCTGTCACCTCTCACCTGAACACCTGTCACCTCTCACCTCTCACCTGAACACCTCTCACCTGAACACCTGTCACCTCTCACCTCTCACCTGTCACCTCTCACCTGAACACCTGTCACCTCTCACCTGAACACCTGTCACCTCTCACCTGAACACCTGTCACCTCTCACCTGAACACCTGTCACCTGTCACCTCTCACCTCTCACCTGTCTCCCTCTCACCTGAACACCTCTCACCTGAACACCTGTCACCTCTCACCTGAACACCTCTCACCTGAAGACCTCTCACCTGAACACCTCTCACCTGAACACCTGTCACCTCTCACCTGAACACCTGTCACCTCTCACCTGTCACCTGAACACCTGTCACCTCTCACCTGAACACCTGTCACCTCTCACCTGAACACCTGTCACCTCTCACCTGAACACCTGTCACCTCTCACCTGAACACCTCTCACCTGAACACCTCTCACCTGAACACCTCTCACCTGAACACCTGTCACCTGTCACCTGAACACCTGTCACCTCTCACCTGAACACCTGTCACCTCTCACCTGAACACCTGTCACCTCTCACCTGAACACCTGTCACCTCTCACCTGAACACCTCTCACCTGAACACCTCAACACCTCTCACCTGAACACCTGTCACCTCTCACCTGAACACCTGTCACCTCTCACCTGAACACCTGTCACCTCTCACCTGAACACCTGTCACCTCTCACCTGAACACCTGTCACCTGTCACCTGAACACCTGTCACCTGAACACCTCTCACCTCAACACCTCAACACCTCTCACCTGAACACCTGTCACCTCTCACCTGAACACCTGTCACCCTCTCACCTGAACACCTGTCACCTCTCACCTGAACACCTGTCACCTCTCACCTCTCACCTGAACACCTGTCACCTCTCACCTGAACACCTGTCACCTCTCACCTGAACACCTGTCACCTCTCACCTCTCACCTGAACACCTGTCACCTCTCACCTGAAACACTGTCACCTCTCACCTGAACACCTGTCACCTCTCACCTGAACACCTGTCACCTCTCACCTGAACACCTGTCACCTCTCACCTGAACACCTGTCACCTCTCACCTGTCACCTGAACACCTGTCACCTCTCACCTGAACACCTGTCACCTCTCACCTGAACACCTGTCACCTCTCACCTGAACACCTGTCACCTCTCACCTGAACACCTGTCACCTCTCACCTGAACACCTGAACACCTCTCACCTGAACACCTGTCACCTGAACACCTCTCACCTGAACACCTCTCACCTGAACACCTCTCACCTGAACACCTGTCACCTCTCACCTGAACACCTCTCACCTGAACACCTGTCACCTCTCACCTGAACACCTGTCACCTCTCACCTGAACACCTCTCACCTGAACACCTCTCACCTGAACACCTCTCACCTGAACACCTGTCTCCCTCTCACCTGAACACCTCTCACCTGAACACCTCTCACCTGTCTCCCTCTCACTTGTCTCCCTCTCACCTGTCTCCCTCTCACCTGTCTCACCTGTCCCCCCCCAGGTGGTCCCTGAGGATGCTGCAGTGCTTCAGGTGTCAGCAGTGGTTCCATGAGGCCTGTACCCAGTGTCTACAGGAGGACATGTTGTTTGGAGACAGGTGAGATGGGGGAAATGTGAGGGGAGACAGGTGAGGGGGAGACAGGTGTATTAATGTGGTTCTGGTTCTGGTATCAGATGGTGGTGTTAGCATAGCAACAGAAGCTAATCTGACTACTTGTTGTTACAGAGTATTTCTGTATGATGTCACTGATGACAGTCTGACAGGTCACCTGCAGCCAGGTGCTGGTCCACCTGAGAGCTGCTGTCATAGACTGCTAAACACCTGAGCTCTGCTAAGTGACCCGATTGAACATTCATCCGTCTACTTATTTATATCAATAGTGATCAAAAGTGTGTGTGTGTGTGTGTGTGTAGGTTCTACCTGTTCCTGTGTGCAGTGTGTGGGCGGGGCTCAGAGTGTGTGCGGCGCCTCCCCCTCCGCTGGGTGGACCTGGTCCAGCTGGTCCTCTACAACCTGTCTCTCAGCAGCAAGAAGAAGTACTTTGAGCTGGAAGAGATCCTGGTCTTCATCAACCAGCACTGGGATCACCTGCAGCTGGGCAAGGTAGAACAGAACCACCAGAACCACCATACCCTAACAGACCACCATACCCTAACAGACCACCATACCCTAACAGACCACCATACCCTAACAGACCACCATACCCTAACAGACCACCATACCCTAACAGACCACCATACCCTAACAGACCACCATACCCTAACAGACCACCATACCCTAACAGACCACCATACCCTAACAGACCACCATACCCTAACAGACCACCATACCCTAACAGACCACCATACCCTAACAGACCACCATACCCTAACAGACCACCATACCCTAACAGACCACCATACCCTAACAGACCACCATACCCTAACAGACCACCATACCCTAACAGACACCATACCCTAACAGACCACCATACCCTAACAGACCACCATACCCTAACAGACCACCATATACCCTAACAGACCACCATACCCTAACAGACCACCATACCCTAACAGACCACATACCCTAACAGACCACCATACCCTAACAGAACCCAACCATAACCTAACAGACCCACCACCCTAACAGACCCACCATACCCTAACAGACCCACCATACCCTAACAGACCCACCATACCCTAACAGACCCCACCATACCCTAACAGACCCACCATACCCTAACAGACCCACCATACCCTAACAGACCCACCATACCCTAACAGACCCACCATACCCTAACAGACCCACCCTACCCTAACAGACCCACCATACCCTAACAGACCCACCCATACCCAAAACAGACCCACCATACCCTAACAGACCCACCCTACCCTAACAGACCCACCATACCCTAACAGACCCACCATACCCTAACAGACCCACCATACCCTAACAGACCCACCATACCCTAACAGACCCACCATACCCTAACAGACCCACCATACCCTAACAGACCCACCATACCCTAACAGACCCACCATACCCTAACAGACCACCATACCCTAACACAGTGGTTCCCAAACGGTGTGCCGCGGCACACTGGTGTGCCGTGAGGCAAGTCCGGGTGTGCCGTAGGATTTTGTGACAACCATACGTTATTATTGCAATATACAACTACACAAAAATAATTATTTTTTAATTTACTATATCAGTACTTTGTATGCACTCATTTCATAATACAGAGGCAAACTCTATACCTAAAAACTATTCTTTTAAAAAAAATCCTCACAGAACCCCATATTTCGCTGTTAACGCAGTTGCAGGTGGGAATTATAAGACCGTGACACATCGAAGGCTGAAGGACAACATTAAAACAGAGAAACACGCAAGAGGGAAAATGGAGCGCTTTCTTGTGCGGAGCAAACCACCAACCACCAGAGACTGCCGACAACCCACCACCGAAAGAAAAGAGGAAACAAACTGTCAGCAGACAGTATCATGAAAGTTACCTGTCTTATGGCACTGCAGGCGAGCGGCAGATTGTCCCTACAAATAGACGAACTTACTGACATAAGTGGGGCTGCCCAACTTCTGGCAAACGTCAGATATGTTGATGCTGACTAGGGATGCCAGAAACTGATTTTCAAATTCGAAAATCGGACAGCCCTGGCGAATATTACTCGATTATTCGCCGCACCCCCCCCCCCCTCACCCCCCCCCCTCCCCCCCCCCCCCCCCGCGGGAGAGAAAAAAAAAGTATTCAAGGTTCAAGGTTCAAGGTTCTTTATTGTCAATCTGACATAGCTACAGAGTAATTATGCAGTTGAAAATCTTATGTCACAGGCTTCTCCAACAATGCAACATAATAACATAACATAATAACAATAAGAGCAAGAGCAATACAAAAATAATAATAGTTATAAAAATGAAATAAAGTGATGATGTGGAATAGTGCAGCATGAGTCTATATACAAGTTATTGGAATGATATATATATATTAGGTATTAGATACATACTACTGAGTAGCAGTTGAATGTTTGAAGTTGTTTCAACAGTTCAATTGTTTAACAGTCTCACTGCCCGCGGGAAGAAACTGTCTCCGAATCTTCTTGTCCTTGCCAGGATGCTGCGGTAACGTCTGCCAGACGGCAACAGAAAGAACAGTTTGTGGCTGGGGTGATGGGGGGTCTTTGATAATCCGTAGTGATTTCTTCCTGAGCCGCTGGGAGTAAAGGTCCTCCATGGATGGCAGCTCCGTCCTGGTGATGTGCTGTGCAGTTTTCACCACCCTCTGTAAAGCCTTACGATCGAGGTCGGTGCAGCTGCCGTACCAGGCCGTCATGCTGCCAGTGAGGATACTCTCTATCGTGCACCTGTAGAAGTTGCAGAGTATCCTGGAATCCATTTTGAACCTCCTCAACCTGCGGAGGAAGAAGAGCCGCTGTCGAGCTTTCTTGGTGATGGTGGTGGTGTGAAGAGACCATGTCAGGTCCTCAGTGATGTGGACCCCAAGGAACCTGAAGCTTTTGACTCTCTCCACCGTAGTCCCATTGATGGCGATGGGGGCGTGTCCCTCTCCCTGCTGCTTCCTGTAGTCCACAATCAGCTCCTTTGTTTGCTGATGTTGAGATGGAGGTTGTTCTCCTGGCACCAAGATGTCAGGTTTTCGACCTCCTCTCTGTACGCCGTCTCGTCATCGTCTGTGATCTGGCCGATGACGGTCGTGTCATCAGCAAACTTCACGATGGTGTTGGAGCTGTGTGTGGCCACGCAGTCGTGGGTGAACAGGGAGTAGAGGAGAGGGCTGAGCACGCAGCCTTGAGGGGCACCGGTGTTGAGAATCAGGGTGGAGGATGTGATGTTTCCCACCCGCACTGCCTGGGGTCTGCCCGTCAGGAAGTTTCAGGATCCAGTCACAGAGGGCGCTGTTGAGCCCGAGGTCTCTGAGCTTGATGGCCAGCTTGGAGGGCACAATGGTATTGAATGCTGAACTGTAGTCAATGAACAGCATTCTCACATATGTGTTCCTGTTCTTCGGGTCCAGGTGTGAGAGGGCAGTGTGGAGGGTGAGGGCTATGGCGTCGTCTGTGGACCTGTTTGCTCTGTAGGCAAACTGCAGGGGGTCCAGAGATTCAGGGAGGGAGGAGGTGATGAATGATTTGACTAACCGCTCAAAGCACTTCATTATGATGGAGGTGAGTGCTACTGGGCGGTAGTCGTTGAGGCAGGTGATGATTGTCTTTTTGGGGACAGGAATGATGGTGGAGTGTTTAAGACATGTGGGGACTACAGACTGCAGCAGGGACCTGTTGAAGATGTCTGTGAACACCTCTGCCAGCTGAACTGCACACACCCTGAGAACACGGCCAGGGATGCCATCTGGTCCAGGAGCCTTGTGTGGGTTAACCCTTTTAAAGGATTTACACACATCTGCCCTGTTTAAAACAAAAGGGCAGTGTAGCTCCTGGTCCCTCTGTACCTCCACAGCCTGGCTGCTCTCAAAGCGTGCAAAAAAACTGTTTAGCTCATCTGGGAGAGATGCGCACGCAGACACTCCCGCAGCACCCCCCGCTGCTCCTTTGTAGTCAGTCATTGTCCTTAGTCCCGCCCACATATTCCTAGTGTTACAGCCTTTGAAGTCAGATTCCACCTTCTCTTTGTACTGTCTCTTTGCATTTTGAATTGCTCTCCGGAGATCATACCTAGACTTCCTGTACTCCTCCAAATCTCCCGCTGTGTGCGCGAGAGTGCGCGCTTTCAGTTTGCCGCGCACCTCACCGTTTACCCAGGGCTTTTGATTTGGGAATGTCCGTACAGAAACCTTCGGTACCACGTCATCGATGCATTTCCCAATGTAGCAGATGACAGTGTCCGTGTGTGTGTTGATGTTATTGTCCTCAAACACACTCCAATCCGTAGATGCAAAGCAATCCTGCAGTGCTGAATCTGACTCCTCGCTCCATCGTTGTACTGTCCTTGTTATCGTCTGTCCCTTTTAAGTTTCTGCTTGTACGCAGGCAACAACAGTAGTGAGATATGGTCTGATTTGCCGAAGGGAGGGCGAGGGAGAGCCTTATATCCATTCCGGAAAGGGGAATAAACATGGTCCAGTATGTTTCCCCCGCGCGTCGGGAAGTTGATGTGTTGGTAATATTTTGGCAAAACCTTCTTCATGTTGGCGGTGTTGAAATCTCCGGCCACAACGAACGCCGCATCTGGCCGTGAAGTCTCGGTTTTATCAATAAACCCAAACAGCTGATCGAGTGCCGTGTTGTTGTCGGCGAGCGGCTGCGGGGGGATATACACTGCTGTTATCACAACAGATGAGAATTCCCTCGGCAGATGGAAGGCCCGACATGAGATCATGAGGTGCTCTAGCTGTGCGGAACAGTCCGATGAAATAATCTTCACATCTGAGCACCAGTTGTTGTTAGTCATTACACACACACCGCCTCCCTTACTTTTCCCCGAGTTAGCAGTCCGGTCCTGACGAAAAATAGAGAATCCGTCAGGGACAATAGCGGAGTCCGGGATAGCGGGGTTGAGCCAAGTCTCAGTGAGAATTAACACGTTACAGTTCTTAATGTCCCGTTGAAAAGCAATCCGCAGAGCAATTTTCGCAGAGCTTGCATTTTACTTCATTTGCACTTGTCACTTCTCTTCTTTGAACGTGGCGCTTTGTTCATCTTTAGTTGTGTTGTTCTCACTGTTCTGTATATCGCCAATTGCACGTGTGACGGAGAGAGGGGGGTCGGTGTGTAGCAGGCTGCAGCAGGCAGCAGCAGTCTGCACTCTTCCTCCAAGTTTACAGTAAAACAAACTGGTGGTGTGACCAATGGCCATTTACAATTATTAATACTATTACTATTAGCATTAGTTCATATTTTGGTTGAAACTAAGCCAGAAAAAAGAAAAGAAAAACATAAATAATAATAAAAATATATATAAATAAAATCGAATTTTAAAAATAATTTTCGATTATGGAGACTGTAACGAATATTCGAAAAATCAAATAATCGCTGGCATCCCTAATGCTGACTCTATCAAAGAGACGTTTTTCTTCTGCAAAGAAATGGAAAGCCATACTACGGGAGAAGAAATATTCAGGGTAACTAATAACTATTTAAAAGAGAACAGTCTGACCTGGAATATGTGCGTCAGTCTTTGCACAGATGGTGCAGCAAGCATGACGGGGAGAGTGAAAGGATGTATTGCTAAGGTGAGAGCACAAAACCCACATATCGTGACAAACCACTGCATTTTGCATAGAGAGGCATTAGTTGCCCCCCATGCCCCCGGAGTTGACTGAGGTGCTGAATCAGGCTGTGCAGATGGTGAATTACATCAAATCAAGGCCCCTGAAATCTCGCCTCTTCTCCCAGCTGTGCGCCGAGATGGGAGCCGACCACCAAAGCCTGATCCTCCACAATTTTTAATGTTGTGACCTGTCTGGTTTAAATGAGTGTGTTGCTGCTTTGATGAAGCCTAATTTGATAAAGTTTCAAATTAATTTCTGAAATATTTCATTAATAAATATTTCATGAGTAATATAGTTGTCTTTGTCACATTTTATTTGGCATTAGTAAATAATTATGCACATTTACAGATATTTTACATGATATGAGTGATAACACGTGTTATAAGGGCTATTTTGCACAATAGGTGTGCCTTGAGATTTTTACTTGTCCTTTGGTGTGCCTTGGGCACAAAAGGTTTGGGAACCACTGCCCTAACAGACCACCATAACTAACCAGACCCTAACAGAACCACCAAAACCACCAGAACTAACCAGAACCACCAGACCCTAACAGACCACCAGAACTAACCAGACCCTAACAGAACCACCAGACCCTAACAGAACTAACCAGAACCACCAGACCCTAACAGACCACCAGAACTAACCAGACCCTAACAGAACCACCAGACCCTAACAGAACTAACCAGAACCACCAGACACTAACAGAACACCAGACCCTAACAGAACTAACAGACCACCAGAACCACCAGAACTAACCAGAACTAACCAGAACCACCAGACCCTAACAGACCACCATAACTAACCAGACCCTAACAGAACCAACAGAACCACCAGACCCTAACAGAACCACCAGACCCTAACAGACCACCATAACTAACCAGACCCTAACAGAACCACCAGACCCTACCAGAACCACCAGACCCTAGCAGACCCACCAGAACTAACTAGACCCTAACAGAACGAACCAGACCCTAACAGAACGAACCAGACCCTAACATAACTAACCAGACCCTAACAGAACCACCAGAACGAACCAGACCCTAACAGAACGAACCAGACCCTAACAGAACCGCCAGAACTAACCAGACCCTAACAGAAACGCCAGACCCTAACAGAACCGCCAGACCCTAGCAGACCCACCAGAACTAACCAGACCCTAACATAACTAACCAGACCCTAACAGAACCACCAGACCCTAACATAACCACCAGAGCCACCAGAACTAACCAGACCCTAACAAAACTAACCAGACCCTAACAGAACCACCAGACCCTACCAGAACCTCCAGAACTAAGAGTTAATAACCCGTCTTTCTGCAGCTGTCCAACACTCCTCCTGCAGAGAGGGGGCAGCACCTGCTGGAGGCTCTGAACAAATACAAGAGCAGGTAACACACACACACACTCATCCCACACACACACACACACACACACACACACACACACACACACACACACTCTCACTCAAACTCATCCCACACACTCACACACACACACACACTCACACACACACACACACACACTCTCACTCTCACTCATCCCACACACTCACACACACTCACATACTTATCACACAAACACACACACACACACACACACACACACACACACACACACACACACACACACTCTCACTCTCACTCATCCCACACACTCACACACACTCACATACTTATCCCACACACACACACACACACACACACACACACACACCCAAGTATAAATGACTGTGAGGATGTATTAATGTGTATTGAAGAAGAAGAATGGGAGGGATGAAACCCTCTCTAATGTTCTCACATGCAGAGCACACAGAGAAATTTGGCCTCTGCATTTAACCCATCCTAGAACCAGGAGTCTAGTACCAGGTGTCTAGAACCAGGAGTCTAGTACCAGGAGTCTAGTACCAGGAGTCTAGCACCAGGAGTCTAGCACCAGGAGTCTAGCACCAGGAGTCTAGCACCAGGAGTCTAGAACCAGGAGTCTAGTACCAGGAGTCTAGTACCAGGAGTCTAGTACCAGGAGTCTAGTACCAGGAGTCTAGAACCAGGAATCTAGTACCAGGAGTCTAGTACCAGGAGTCTAGTACCAGGAGTCTAGCACCAGGAGTCTAGAACCAGGAATCTAGTACCAGGAGTCTAGTACCAGGAGTCTAGTACCAGGAGTCTAGCACCAGGAGTCTAGCACCAGGAGTCTAGCACCAGGAGTCTAGCACCAGGAGTCTAGAACCAGGAATCTAGTACCAGGAGTCTAGTACCAGGAGTCTAGTACCAGGAGTCTAGCACCAGGAGTCTAGAACCAGGAATCTAGTACCAAGAGTCTAGTACCAGGAGTCTAGTACCAGGAGTCTAGTACCAGGAGTCTAGCACCAGGAGTCTAGTACCAGGAGTCTAGTACCAGGAGTCTAGCACCAGGAGTCTAGCACCAGGAGTCTAGCACCAGGAGTCTAGCACCAGGAGTCTAGCACCAGGAGTCTAGCACCAGGAGTCTAGCACCAGGAGTCTAGCACCAGGAGTCTAGCACCAGGAGTCTAGCACCAGGAATCTAGAACCAGGAATCTAGTACCAGGAGTCTAGTACCAGGAGTCTAGTACCAGGAGTCTAGTACCAAGAGTCTAGTACCAGGAGTCTAGTACCAGGAGTCTAGAACCAGGAGTCTAGTACCAGGAGTCTAGTACCAGGAGTCTAGTACCAGGAGTCTAGTACCAGGAGTCTAGCACCAGGAGTCTAGAACCAGGAATCTAGTACCAGGAGTCTAGTACCAGGAGTATAGTACCAGGAGTCTAGTACTAAGAGTCTAGTACCAGGAGTCTAGTACCAGGAGTCTAGAACCAGGAGTCTAGAACCAGGAGTCTAGAACCAGGAGTCCAGCACCAGGAGTCTAATACTAGGAGTCTAGCACCAGGAGTCTAGCACCAGGAGTCTAGCACCAGGAGTCTAGAACCAGGAGTCTAGAACCAGGAGTCTAGCACCAGGAGTCTAGCACCAGGAGTCTAGCACCAGGAATCTAGTACCAGGAGTCTAGTACCAGGAGTCTAGAACCAGGAATCTAGTACCAGGAATCTAGTACCAGGAGTCTAGTACCAGGAGTCTAGTACCAGGAGTCTAGCACCAGGAGTCTAGCACCTGGAGTCTAGAACCAGGAGTCTAGTACCAGGAGTCTAGTACCAGGAGTTCTAGCACCCAGGAGTTCTAGCACCAGGAATCTAGTACCAGGAGTCTAGCACCAGGAGTCTAGTACCAGGGTCTAGTACCAGGAGGTCTAGTACCAGGAGTCTAGTACCAGGAGTCTAGTACTAAGAGTCTAGTACCAGGAGTCTAGAACCAGGAGTCCAGCACCAGGAGTCCAGTACCAGGAGTCTAATACTAGGAGTCTAGCACCAGGAGTCTAGCACCAGGAGTCTAGTACTAAGAGTCTAGTACCAGGAGTCTAGAACCAGGAGTCTAGCACCAGGAGTCTAGCACCAGGAGTCTAGCACCAGGAGTCTAGCACCAGGAATCTAGCACCAGGAGTCTAGTACCAGGATTCTAGTACCAGGAGTCTAGCACCAGGAGTCTAGCACCAGGAGTCTAGCACCAGGAGTCTAGCACCAGGAGTCTAGCACCAGGAGTTTAGCACCAGGAGTCTAGCACCAGGAGTCTAGCACCAGGAGTCTAGCACCAGGAGTCTAGCACCAGGAGTCTAGCACCAGGAGTCTAGCACCAGGAGTCTAGTACCAGGAGTCTAGTACTAGGAGTCTAGTACCAGGAGTCTAGTACCAGCAGTCTAGTACTAAGAGTCTAGTACCAGGAGTCTAGCACCAGGAGTCTAGTACCAGGAGTCTAGAACCAGGAGTCTAGTACCAGGAGTCTAGTACCAGGAGTCTAGCACCAGGAGTCTAGAACCAGGAATCTAGTACCAGGAATCTAGTACCAGGAGTCTAGTACCAGGAGTATAGTACCAGGAGTCTAGTACTAAGAGTCTAGTACCAGGAGTCTAGAACCAGGAGTCTAGAACCAGGAGTCCAGCACCAGGAGTCCAGCACCAGGAGTCCAGCACCAGGAGTCCAGCACCAGGAGTCTAGCACCAGGAGTCTAGTACCAGGAGTCTAGAACCAGGAGTCTAGTACCAGGAGTCTAGCACCAGGAGTCTAGCACCAGGAGTCTAGAACCAGGAGTCTAGCACCAGGAGTCTAGCACCAGGAATCTAGTACCAGGAGTCTAGTACCAGGAGTCTAGTACCAGGAGTCTAGTACCAAGAGTCTAGTACCAGGAGTCTAGAACCAGGAGTCTAGTACCAGGAGTCTAGTACCAGGAGTCTAGTACCAGGAGTCTAGCACCAGGAGTCTAGAACCAGGAATCTAGTACCAGGAGTCTAGTACCAGGAGTCTAGTACCAGGAGTCTAGTACCAGGAGTCTAGTACTAAGAGTCTAGTACCAGGAGTCTCGTACCAGGAGTCTAGAACCAGGAGTCTAGAACCAGGAGTCCAGCACCAGGAGTCCCACCCAGGAGTCTAATAC